ATTTTGTTTTTTTAATTGCTTATAATTCTTGTATTCATTTAGAACTCTTACGTAATTTCGTATTATCTACTTTGTTCCTATGTGTATCCTGAGGAAAACTCAATCATCAAACTATTCATATTATTACATAACTTCTTTTTTTTAACAACTGTTTGTGACAACTCATCACCTTTGTTACACTACCCTAATTTCATTAACACCCAATTTTCTTGACCGATTTTGTATTACGTAACTCCAATTACCAATCTTCACCTGTTTAGTTTAAAATAACCATAAGCAATTGTCTATTTTTGTTTGACAAACTTAATGTACACAAACATACAAAATATAAACATATATATATATTTGCGATTGTACAGCTAAGAAAATGAATTCGCCGCCGAAAAGAGACTCTTCGCTGAACACTACGTGTTTTCATTGTTTTCATTAATGCCTGGATGGGGATTATCCATGAACTGAGTAACTGTCATGCATTTTATTTTATTATTGTGAACCATGTAAGGGGAATGTAGGGGAACTACGAAATGATGATATCATCTGGCGAAATACGTCTTCTAAATGCCTTCCTTATTCAAATGCATAGATATAGCTATATTGTTAATGTACACCACACATATTATCTAAGAGTAATATAGAATAACAGTAATATTATGTCATAATGACTAGATAACTGATTCACTGTTGTCTGCTAGTCCGTATATATACACACACACATACATACATACAAAAACAGAATCTCTTAGATAATGAGTAGTCTTGATAGCTTTGCATTGATTGTATATGGTATACAAAATACACACAATACAGACGACCCATACCACGTACACATAGACGTGTGTGTGTGTGCAGGCAAAACACGTACATACACAAAATAATCGATAAGTCTTACTTATTATTTACCTATTACTACTATTATTACGACTATTATGATTATGATTATCGAACATGTCAGTTCATCTTCTATTGATGATGTATGCAGGTTTGTGTGTGTGTGTATGCATGACGTGTATGAATGCACAATCAACCGACATCTTGTTGTTTTGTTTAAATAATCAACAATTCAGCTACTGACTGATTGACTGACTGTGGAATTGAATGAATCGCTAGTTGGTTGGTTGGTTGGTTGGTGTTGAACCTTATTGTGACAGTGATGAAGAGCGCTGATTTCAAAAGCACAATTTGACAAGAAGACAATACAATACAATATGATATAATATAATATGTGTATATATATAATTATTTTATTTTATTTGAATACCTACTACTCACTGACTTTGAGAAAGTGTTCTCTACACACAGTAAGACAATGAAAACACTGTCTTGTCATCATTATCAACAAAGATATCACGAAGTAAACATTCCTCAGTGATAATACCACTACTAACTAATATGACTTACTTTTAATAGCAGTCATAATCAAAGGTGTAATATATTTGCTGGCTGTCATGTTAAATGAAACAACTTGAATGCCCTCCACCACACATACACAGACACTCAGTCATATTGATTAAAACAACATCTTCAAGTGAATGCTTTCAAGTTTCATCACAGATTGATATCAATTACACAGAATACTGGAGAATTGTTTCGGCCTAGTTTAGAAGTCTTCAGTAGCAGTACATGCAGTCATCCATGATTCCGCTTAACAGAGATCGACTGCATGATTTTCAGGTTAGAAGAAGACAAGTTCGTTGACCATTCTAGCCAGTGGGTGAGGAATTTAATCGTCAATGAATTCTAACTTCTGTCAATTCGCGCCATATACATTTATGAGTACTTGGGTTCTCATTCGAAGGGGACACTCACTTTCATCAATGTCATGTTTATCGTAGTTTAAGCAATTTCTTTTGTAAGTGGTATTGATTGATCTTATCTTTCAATACCAAAAGAAGATAATACCAATCAATAAAATAAATTGCATCACCTGTGATAAAAAATACTGCATTTTGATTAAAGTGGGTATCATGTGGAACTTAGAATCCAACCACATGTTCTCTTTCATATCGATGTGTGTAGACTATTGGTGTTTGAAAGAATGGAGACTAGATTCCTGTCTTCCAGTGGGAACACCACTACCACTCCCCTGGGGGATTGCAGATACATCCAGATGACCAGTTCAAATTCGATGAAACGAACATCCTGAATTCTTTTGTGAACCGAAGTCAACCAAGTGAACACCACTAGGTGTTCATCTCAATAGATTATCCAAGCGCCCATACTATGATCTGATATGCCAGTACACGCCAAGCATTTCAGTTCAATATAAACCAATCAAGAGGAGGTATAGAATAATCATCGCATCAAATAGATAGACGACTAATACTTGTATTTTAAATACTCTGTTTTGGTAGGAGGAAAGCGACAGTAAACCGCAATAGTATTCATCACGATTACTATAGAATGGGGGATTAAACAACTACACTGACCTGCTCTGCAACACTCTGTTAAGAAACGCAAGAGGCCATATCCCGCCGATTGATTGAGGTGAGTGGTTGTATACCACTGACACTATCAACCAATGTTGCTAGCCAGCCAGATTATCGAAGTGATCCATACACCGTATAAGAGCCGTTTCTCTCCTTTGGAGCAGAGCTCATCAGTGGTGGTCTATCTAGCCCACTTAACTCAGCGAACTCAGAGAGAGGGAGAGAGAGAGATCCTAATCGTCCTAAATCACCCGACTTCTTGTCAGCCCACTAGCTAGCTGGCTGGCTACTTCGGTGAAGCGATAATTTCATTAGCCAAATTCACAATTGGCAGTTTACACACATCCCCCCCACACTACAGTTTCCTTTGGAAGCCATAGTTACTCAAACCATACAAACACACACACATACACAGAATACGTGATCTGCTGGATACCTACCATAAATGCTGTAATCAAGAAACGAATCAAACATAAATGCAAAGTGCCGTATAATAAACATGAACCGTTGATGATGATGGATTAAACCTGGTAGCACCCTTCTAATGACCCACAGTGAACTTTGAACACACAAATCACCGTTTATCCCTGACATTCTCTGCACAGTGCAACATATACACGTATAGAAGAAGGGAACACCTAACCTCCGGTAACGACGATTTAGTGAGACTGATTTAGAAGAGTGGTGGGTGGTGATGATTGGAGGCGATATGAAAATCTCAGTCACGACAAGACTTGAACTACCAGCAGCAGCAGCAGTGGCCTCCGAGTTTCAACAGTGTACCAGATAGTCTACACCTCTCTACGTGGCTGGCTCAAACTAACTGTTGGAGATTTCGTGGATTGATGCCACATTGTCATGTGACCACCAACCACTGGGTCTTTTCCAACCTGATCCCACGGCAGCTAACATTGCCCCGTTGAAGAAAGGGATGGCTCCTCATGAGCTAAACACGTGTCATAACCATCTCAATCAACTCACCTTCACAACGACATTCATAGACTTATCCTCCTCACCTAAACTATCTACACCTAACCGTAATGTTGCTCACTAAATTATACCATTTAAGATGAAAGGTACCGTGCGGACACCTATGATCATCAAAGACAACTAGCCTTTTCATACCTGCCACTTTCAATGGCCATCTCTTACAGCCATAGGAAGTAGACAGAGTCAGCCAGTTGTAGTGTGCGCAGTACACACAAACACACACGTCACTTTGATCGAATACCAACTAACTGCTGGCTGAAAGCTGAGCCGACCTACACGACCACCCAACAACAACAACGACCAACCAATGTGGACAAAAATGCCAGTCAACAAATCGCAATTGCACTTTAATCTATCGATATATATACATAAATATATATGTTGAATAAATTCGGAAAAAATACAGACAAAAAGTGCATACAAATTAAACTGCAAATCACCAAACAATCACAAATTAAGTAGTATATTCACAAATCACAAAAAAGATACATCCTTTGCTAGATTTTGTATAAGCATCACAACATAGACATTGGCAACGGAAAGGGACACCGACACACCCACTCACACATACACACAGGCAAACACAATGTGTATATACTGAATTCCACTTGATCAATCCAGCAAAATTCACATTAGAAAAAACAAAGGCATATATTATTAATTAAAGGGTAGTTCATCACAATCTGTGCACAACAGCACTCTACACACATACACACACACGCTCATACATACATACCCACGACATCAAAGGACAGCAGAACAGAACAGAAGAGAAAACTGGTGCCGAAAAAACAGTTGGTTTATTCTTCATATATATCGCATATATATAAATTGTATATATATACACATACACATGCATCACTAAGATGACGACGTCATTATGGAAATTTTACAAGTAGCAAAAGCCATTTGCGCGTGTGTGCATGTGTTGTCTGTCTGAGAAGCTACTCCACGGCAATTGTTCATCATCATCAAGAAGAAGAAGAAGGAGAATTGAGGACAAGTGAGTAATGAGGTAAAAGATTAAAAACGATTGAGAGAGAATATCCATAAAAAATATTCACACATTTACTGCTGTATTTTCGTTATCTTAATCCCTTGTTGGTGTTATTGTTATTACTATTCGACTTCATAATACAAAATACGACAGAAAAGGCAAGTGTGAGTGTGAGTGAGGCAGTAGAAACAGAGCGAGGCCGAAGCAGAGAGAGATAGAGGTGAAGACAAGTGACAACTTCTCATTCATTCATGCATTCATAGATTCTTTCATACTCACACGCTGATGTGAGAAGCAGTACACAGAAGGAGGCCAATGTTAATAATATAGTTTCAGAGTAAAAAGGAAAATATGTGAAATGATCCATACTCACTCACTGGCAAATACAAAAAACATATTACATAAAAAAGGGATAACAAGCGGTGCTTGATAAGAAAGAACGCTGGCATGAAGGGTGGTAGACAATGTGGTTTCGGAATTGAAATTCTGGTCAAATTATTAAAAGTAGTCGTAGGAGTAGTAGCAGTGGTTCTTGTATCGACACAATACCACTACTTGATGTGATAAATCGAGAGTGAGGGGGAGAGAGAGAAAAGGATGTGTAAAGGTTACGTAATCAATCAATCAACCAATCAATAGTAGTTAATCCATTGCTGTTGTTGTTGTTGCTGTTGTACATGTTGTGTTCAACTACAACATCGTCGACCACTGCTTGGATTCTCTGCATTCGGTGATACAATCGGTTGATTATGATATGGAGACATTTTCATATCGACATTACTCACTGGAGGATGTGAACTGACAATATTATAAATAGCTGTAAATGAAATGAAGTGAAATGAAAAACAAAAATTATTTTATGAAAAAATTAGTGAACTACATGTTAGACTTATATTCATTTATTGATTATAATTAGATGATTCCCATACGTTCCAAGTGGACCATGCGGCTTCAAGCTGAAGCTTTAAAGTTTCGGTAGCAGTGTTTCTTTCATTTCTACAGGGTGGCCAAGGGTGGGGCTGCTAGTCTAGCACCCATCCAACTTTCCTTCACTACCTGCTTAGCCAGTGAGGCTTAGGAGTGTGCTGGCTGGGGTTTGAACCCTAAACACCACATGCGTGATTGGCGAGCGTTCTACAGCTAAGCCGTCGACGCATGTGAGACTTATATAGTATGAGTACAGTATAGTATGGTGTTCAGTATACCAGGCCATGATGATGGAAGATGTAGACTGCCTACAGTGCTAGATAAGAAGGAAAGGTATGTCAATCGATGAGATGGTTAGGACACGTGTTAACCATGTCGAGCCAATGCCCTTCCCGACGGGCAGTTTCAGCTGAAACAGGATTAAGTTTGAGTAAAAGAAAGAGTTTGCGGTGACTGAACCGAAACCTGTCATTAATCCATCAAGTTTTGGACAGTTGTTGGTTTCACAGCCAGTCTCACACACGGGGGTGTAAGTTACCATGGTCGGGGTTCTTAGGATGCTCTGAACCAATGATTGGGGACTATTAGTGTGACATGATTGAAAATCGTCCTCAACGGTGCAGATGGATTCACACTTTGTAATCTCCAAGATCAATGAAGTCTTCACATATTTCTTTAGGTAATTATTTTTTCTGCAGAACATTTCTGCTCAATAAGAGTCCTTCTGAATCTGTCTTCTTCTCTTTTCTCTAACTTTGTGTGCTACGCTATGTGAAATGTGGCCACTTGAACTTCTGCACACCTATGCAAAGTTCTGTATTGAAACTCAATAAGTTGAATGTAGTTTCGTCAGGTCAAAGAGCATGAACATAACAGTTATCAGCAGTGAGCAATCAACACTCCCAATACACTCACATTTCAAGTTGAGCACCACCACGAGTACCGGCAGTAAATTACGCCAGGAATGAATCTATTATTTATGTGTGAAAAGTCCTGTGATGATAATCCAGTTCAGTATTACGACAATGTGACGTCTCCAAGCGATGCATTTCTTCTAATGACACTCTGGTTATCTGTCAATAATTTCAGTCCGTACCGATGATGGCTGCTGCCTTGACATGGTGGCCCGCCTATCTGCGTATCTGAATAACCCAACGAGTCGTAACATTGGAGGGAACTAATGTTTAAGAATGTCTTACCATGCCAGAGAGGTCGTTAGGATAACAGTTTAACTAAAAGTAGTTACCATAAAATAGTGTAAGTCGTCTACCCTAGTGTTGGGAGTCTCTAGGTGAAGTCCTACTTCCGACGAATAAGGATGCAACAGCAGTGGGGCGTCTCCCTCGGATGACCAACAAGGCACATATGCTGCTTTCCCCTTTGCTCTGAAGATGGGAAGGTTGGAAATGGTTGACTTAGAGAATTGTGCATCCCGATTTACCACCAACTTGCGGTGGTAGGTTCTCAAATAGAGACACAACACCAAAACCACTTTACAAAGGCCATATGTGTGACCAGGACTACGGTCACGTAATATGAATGCTCCTTCTGTTTCACCTACTCCAAGAAGAAATCAAAGTCGGGGAAGCAATAGCCACTCAGACACTTTCATATGCACACACACACAAAACTTTGCTGACGACATCAATTTCAGTTCAAATTAACGAGTACAGAAACTCTTGCATCAAAACAGGATTGTGTACTATTCACGATATACAAATACTTCGGGGAAGAGAGATAAATCTTTCTTAGAGATTTATCATTCAACTGAAATTGTCAACAATGTCAAACTATGAACTTCTTAGCTAGTCAGAACTCAATTACCTGGAACAGAGTTTTCGTGTTCCACGCCACGCTGTGAGTGTTACACATATTGTACATGAAAGGGGCTGAGATGCGTAGCACTCATCAGTGTTGACCAAACTGAAGTAGGTGAAGAGGAACCTGAAACCTATGAGCCACCACATCTTCATAAATGTACACGGTAATATAGAAGGACAACTGACAACACACAGAAACCTCATCACTAATTAACACACTCATGTCAGAAGTAGAGCTAAGGGTGGTTATTTAAAAAGTGAAGGAAGTTCTACGGCTTCATCAGAAATAACTGCTGCAAAGAGACTAATTCTAGTAAGCTTTGGCAACGGGACATACATGATCGAAATTCTACATAATAACCACAAAAGCCACAGAATTTGAACAGGTATCAACTGTTTAGGTATTCGAGCAAAGGGACTTTAGAAAGACTACGGTGAAGAAATTGTTGGCTGACGGTATTTAGGTGAAACGTCAGGCAAAACACTTTAAAGAGCAACTTAACCGACTTGGGTTAACCACACTCTCAATGGGGGAAGTGAATAACGACAGTTTAGCCCTGCTAGATGTTGCCTTATAAAAACTACATCCTAACTTAAAAGTAGACGAAAGGTCAGGGATTTGATAGTTCAACTCCCGAAGTATTTAAAGAATGATGTTCAGCAGTTCTCAGCTAATTGAGCTAATTAGATAATGATAAAAAGTATACAGGCATCCGATATAGTTCCGATAGAGTTATACCACAAATTCAAGGGAAGTTAAAGCAAATATTCCTCAGTTAAGCCGACAACTCTGGTAAAATACAAGATTTACTTCAAATTCCTCGGGGAGAGATTTGAGTGATTTTTTATTGTGCAAGCAGTTCGCTGATGATACTACATAACTTAGTCTGCACCAACTTTTTCTGAAAAGACAGAGTGAACTGAATGAATACTACACGTTGTCCAGTATGCTTTTAAACACTGGGGGCTGCCGAAGAAATCTCAACACACTGAAAGTTAGTTCAATCAATATTCATCAACGGAAGTCATAATTCTGGGGTTGATGAAATATTTGACCACCTGTTAAAAGGGTATGAATAGTTCGTTTCTTCCTGCTTTATGGCTGTGAGACACAAGTGATTTAATTTGATCGTCCGTGCAAGTTAAGTAGAACCTGATATGAGCAGTGTTGAGATGAGAAGTACAGTCACATAGCAGACTTAACTAAATCAACAAGAGTGAGGATTTTGATCTACTGAGGTGACTCAGATATATCCTCCATAGGTTGTTAGCCGAATTAGGACTACGTTGAAAAAGAGTAGGAATGCTCAGAACAAAATTTGGCGCAAATTCATGAAGCTGCGGACTATTCCTGTCAGCCACAAAGAAAGGCGTAAATTTTTTGTCTGGGTGGGATATTTGGACCTTGTGAATCGACTGTTGGAGACGCCTAATGTCAAAGGGCAAAGTTCTTCTTCACTGTATATCCACCTTTTAGAGTCGGTGAATTTCTTTCTGTCTAAATGACTAAGTTCCAACACAGAACTTTGCACAGAATTTCAGCGGTTCAAGTAGTTATCACCTTCCCTCCATGTATCACACAAAGGTAGTCAGAAGAAAGAAAAGTGAGAATCAATACCACCTCAATGAGTAAAACTGCACAGGAGAAAGAATGATAACAGGGAAGAAAATGAGGAGTTAACGGATGTGAGACCACAGAGAGTTAATGCGTTTGTTCCACTGACAACGATTTTCAGCAACAGCGCCAACAGTTTCAAGCCATAAGATCGTAGTATGCCAAGGACGCCACAACCAGACAGTCTCCATCTCCTTATTTGGCTTGTTCAAAGCAACTGTCAGAAACTTGATGGATTCATGCCAGGTCTTAGTTTCATCGCCCCTAAATCTTTTATATAATCCAACCCTATGTCAGCTAACACTGTTCGACAAGAAAGGCGATGACTCGGCATGAGTAACACGTGTCCTAGCCATCTCAATCGATGTAGCTTCACAAACTCATCGACTGACTTGTCCTCTCTACCTAGTACTACACCTAACCTAAATATTACTCACCATATTACACACCACTTAATGCTGGAGACGTTGAAATTATGAACGATCTCGTTCAATTAGTCTCTCTTATTCAACTGTACGGGATATTAAAGAAAGACCATTGTATTCTAATAAATGATTATTGTGAATTAAGTGAAGGTCTCTAACATTCGTGTAAAATTCACCTACAGTTATTCACAGATACTACACATACTAATAGACTTTTACGGTTTAAACAGTCAGAAAGTATCAACCATCTAAGCACTTCTAACTACATACAAAGTTATTAACGCTTATCAGTCAACCACATTTTCTTTCTTCAAATTTAATTTTCGTTTTCTTTACATCAGTGCCTCTATACATGAACTGGCACGACAGAGGGTGAGCAGTCTTTGGCATTACTCTTGAAATGCTGTCACGTGGCCTCTGCCACGTAAGCCTTGTCCATCGCCTTCACGTGGCAGGGTTGTTGCTCACAAAAGCAGAAAGGGCGAATGATAAAGTAAAGATTACACTACCAGCAAATTCGAGAGATTCAATAGCTAATACTGGTGGACTGCCTATTGTGAATACAGAATTACTTCTTTAAGGTACAAAGCGGATTGATTAACTGGATTATGACTGAATCTGGTTAGCAAGATCTGCAAGAACTTGAAAGGACACTATTTAACTTTGCTTTTTTTCTCCAATTACACATCTAATGACTGCACTCAGGCAAACGGGATGTACTCTGCTAAAAGCTGTTAACTACCACTTACTATCCGAGTGAAATGTATAAATCGAGGGCCAAAAAATACTTTACTCAAACAAACAAACAATCAAACTGAGTCAATCAGAAGGATATGATTTGATATCTCAAACATTCCCAGGTTCATGGATTCCCATTGGTGACTATTCGCCACAACTTTAATCCAGAGATCCCTTGTTTCAGACAAGTATTAGCTTTGGATAGAATGAAAAGCCATTGCTGTACTCAGTGGCTACCAACACCAAGCCAACAATGCATACAGACAATAATGCCAACAGTCAACGCTACTGTATTACTACTTGGACACATTATCCAAGCCTAAACAAGTAAGTATGTATGTCTAAACGGGCATAGGAATCATGCAATCAAGATGCCTGCCAATGATTCGATTGGAAATTAGGATAGGTTGGTATTTAGACAAAGGTGAGGGGGGGTTGCGGCTATGCACCTAAGTCAGATTCGTAATCTACACAGTTCCAGGAGGAGAAATTTCACCACAGTTTTCTTTGGAAAGCCAAATTACCATAAATGGAAATCAAGATAGCAAGTGTAAATGCATAGAACTTTATACCACTGACCTACTGACGTAAGTAGCTGTATCCCACTCACATCAACCAGCAGTGCTTGCCAGATAGCCAGATCAAAGTGATCTGAACAGCAGATGGCTGTTTCACTCGTTTGGCGCTGAGCTCATCAGCGGTGCACACCGCTTGACTCAGCTCACCCAGACAGCCAAATCAGTTTAAACCACAGATTTCTGTCTAGCTGAGGAGAAGCAGGTAGAGTAGTCAGTTACCAAATTCTATCATCATTTTCACTATGGGTAAAATTTGTTTTGATAAAGTCTCAATTTATTGCTCATAATTATATCAATTTTTATTCTTATATCAACCATCATCATTTTCCCCAGTCCCATCAGAATGGTTTGACACGAGAAAGTTCAGTACAGAAAACCTCAATTTTTGTGAGCAACAAAAGCATTTGTATTACCCGTCAACTATAGTCGTTGGTGGATTATGTTTGGTAAAGAAGGAGTACTAACAATAACTACTTCTCACAAGAAGCGGCTGGAGTTTGGAATTACTAAAAGTCAGCTACAACTGTAGCTCGACTAATCAAATCAAGTCAATGGGAAATAATGGTCACCTGAATCTCAACAAAGTGAAGACAGTTGTTGTGAAACCTCAGCTAAAAAGAAGAGCCAGATGGATTTCCTCTAACAGACTTTAAGGTAAACAGTCATGGGTCACACATACGAAAAACTGGACAGTGTGCGAATCAGAAAAACACCATAATGCCATTTGTAATCTATTTTTCTTTTCCAAAAATTTGCAATACAAAAGTACCTTTATGTCCCAGAAATATATGGGCTGATAATTACTAAAGCTATAGAATATGAGTGCATCGGTGGCACAGCTGTTAGGACGCTCGCCGACCATGCAAATGGTCCGGGGTTCGATCCCCGGCCACAGACGCACTCCTTTACCTCGCTACGCCAGTAATAAGACTGGTAAAGAGGAAAACTCGGGCATGAGGCTAGCAACCCTATCCTGTAAAAAATAAACATTGCTACAGAAACTTCAAGCCTCTAGCTTGAAGCCTTATCTTCCACTGGGAACGTGAAGGAATAAAAAACGTCCCTTTAATAAATTTGAATAAAACTACACCTACGAAAATCCATTACAGTCAAAATCTAACCTAATACATATTATCAAAAGTACAAAACAACCAACCTTGGAGAATTTGACAGAAGGCTTCTTCTACATTAGTAGAATCCAAAGCTGACGTTTCAATGAAACAAAGTCCATTTCGTTCAGCAAAACTTTTCGCTTCCTCAGTCATAACTCCACGAAGATGTCGAAGATCACACTTATTTCCAACTAACATGATAACAATATGCTGGTCTGCATGATCTCGTAATTCACCTAACCATCGATCCAAATTACGATAAGTTACTACTTTGGAAACGTCGTACACCAATAGTGCACCAACGGCACCACGATAATAACTGAAAAACGAAGGGATAAGAGCATGTGATAACTTTAAATGAGAAATACGTAAATAGTGTTCGTTGGCTTTATTGGTTACGCAGTGCAAACGGCTTTAAACTACGAATATCGTGTCCGACAATCACACTTAACTCATTTGAAATAACCTCAACTAATCAATAAAAATTGAGATAATTCATTCATATATTACAACATAAACGAATTGGTCTGTTTATTGCATAAACTGCATTAGTCCAGCAACTACGCATATGAGTCAGATGAATTAGGAAACTGGCTCGTCAGACTTTAGAAAGTAAGAGTGGATTAAAAATACCACTTAAACTAATAACCGATCACTCGACAAATGAGCAACAATATGCTTAATACAAAATATCAACGATATCAAGAATACAAAATTAGTGCGTAGTTTGAGACAAATAAATGTCTGTTTAGACTGCTACATGCCACAAGTCACAATTATGCAGATAATGGAAACAAAAACTAGCAAATACTGTGTCAAACATCGAATCTGTTGATCATACAAATTAACGAAGCTACAGTGAATTACTGAGGCTGAGTTTCAACCTAAAATCCAATGGCCTCACGAACCCTAGCAAAAACTACACATGATCACAGCAATAGTACTTTCTCTGATATGGAACTCAATCACAACCGTGTAAATCCGAATACATGCCTCAAATGGTGGATATATGGTGAGCAATTCAATGAATCTCCACCAATTTGCAGTTATACCATTATTTTCAGCACAATTAGGGCACTGTTGAAAAGAGACTTAGCAGCCTGCTTCTTTATGTAAATTAGGTGAACAAGAGAAATTTTACTCAAACACAAAATACTTAATCCATAGAACCTGTGTACCCGAAGTTCACGAAACATAAATTTCAACGTCACCCTTTTAGATATGCAGTGCTTTTCAAATGTTGTAGTGATACAATCAAGAAAAAAGATGCATGAAATTAGTAACACCACGATATGACATCTATATGCTGTTTTATTGAATGACTCATGGGTGATAACATCCACTCGATGTACAGGCATGCCGAAAGAAACTGAATGTAACCCTAAGTGAAGAAAATAACTTAATACTACGATTATGCTATCACCTGTATAAATAAAGGAATGCTTATTCCATCCATTCCATTCAACTTCCACTTTATTAAACTACACTACGAAGTCAACAGTAATAATAAATAATAATAAACACTAACTTTCAGAAGCCACTTATTTAAAGGAAACGTATCTAATAACAGGTTTGAATAATTTCAAGCAGCTAATATACTGAGGAACTTTAGTCAACACAAATAACTGGGATGAAACTCACGCAGAAGTAATCGCTCGATAACGCTCCTGACCGGCAGTATCCCAAATTTGAGCCTTTATTATCTTCCCGTCAATCTGGACACTCCTAAACAACCAGGTCACACTCTTCAAAAGCATTACCTTGTCGCAAACTCAACTCCGATTGTACTTTTGCTCTCCAGATTGAATTCATCTCGTGTGAAACGAGACAGTAGGTTACTTTTACCAACACCGGAGTCTCCAATTAGTACAACTTTTCAACTGAGATAAATTGCATAAACCTATATTACCTTTGAATAGATAATCGTACTCATCGTCTTTACCAGGCATAGAACTCCCATACATTCTCGATTTTTTTGAATATTGTGCAATATACACAAAACAACGAAGGTAAATCAATGATGCGTTCAAAGTGATATTCAAGGTTCCATTAAAAAGATTGTAAGTTTTGATCTCGATATCTAGCACCCTCTTCACAGGCTAGAAAAAAGGTCAAATTATTTCTTGGCTTCGACTTTTAGTGGTAAAAAATGAATGGTTATTCAACTAGGTGGGTCTTTCGGGGTTGCAGATACTACAACTCAGATACCCTTTATATATTATGTCCTGAGGAGAATACCAGAACGGTTAGACCTATGGATTAGTCAGTGGTCTGCGACTAGGCTATGGCCGGATTTAGTCCTTTCATCGACCTGTCCTACCGTTTGCTGGAACATGTAATAGACCATGTACCGGATTGCTTCTTAATTTACTTCTCAGTCATTTGAGACAAATTATCAGGTTTATTACTTGAAACTAACCAACCCACTATTATAAGTATGCCGCTGTGATTTTTAAAACTGCAATTAATCTCTGAAGTGATTTTCATCTATAACTGATGTACAACATGAGAAGCGACTCGAAAGTCTCTTAAGAGATGTAGGGTGGGGATAGAGGCTATCGCGATGTATTTTTGCCCACTATATAGGTTATCGTGTTAATGCCCATAGAGGTGTTATAAGCATTTACTTTTGTGAAAATGGAGTATATTTAATTAGTTTTAGGCTTCTGCAGTCGGAAGGAGAGACATTTTCCTGTATTAGGTTCGTAATAATGCGTAAAGGTGTCTTGATATCTCAGACGAATTATTACGAAGAAAGGCGTGCATATATAGAAATGACTTTTATTCTGGTTTGGGAGCCTTAAAAGTTCCATATTTACAGGTGGTTTCTGATTTTTAAGTTGTATATTGGCTACAGTCAACGGTTTCTGTTATAGCATTTACTCTATAAGATTCGGGCTTTTGATAGAGAATAGGCCCACATACATATGTCAGACATCTGTTCTGAGGAGATTAGGCTTTTTTGTTATTGTCCATGACGAGTGAAATCCTTGATAACACATTCAAGAAATCGTAGGGCGAATGAGACAAGCGGCTGAATTTTTCAGCTGTGACCATTTTAATGAAGTTCACGCTTAGAATTGCTCAGCCTAAGATGTGATACTGGTGGAATTTACATTGTCACGTGGAATTTCGGAACACCGTAACTGCATACGGCATCAAATGACATCGACTTATCTCGATATCAGTGTGCAATGGGATAAGAAGAATACTATGCATAGTCCTTCTGAAATGTCATACTGCTTACAGTTAGTACTGCGTTTCTGTCGAAGAGTAGCCTGCAGGTCCCTCCTACTACTAGTATACGTGTTATCTAAGTCATATCAGTTGTAATAATCATTCACTTTTGGATTACTGGGATATTTTTGATTTCTTTAGGAGGTACCTTTTTCTATAACAGATATGGAAGCCACACTTGCAAGTGACATTTCTTTACCACATCTGAAGTAGTATCTGGTCTGGAGAGACTTCTCGAAACTCATTTTGAAACGCGGAAGCATATGTAGTCATGGGTGGTATTATCCCTCACGCCACAGGTCATGAAAGGGAATCCGACGTAAAATTTCCTAGCAAAGTAATGTTAATGGTACTAATGTTTGGTAAGAAAACTATTCAAAGGAAACGCTTAGATTGTTTACAAGTAAGTGCTACTGAAGACTCCGTAGTTACTGCATTCGAGATGTTTGAACTATCTTCCGAAGTTAAAAGTGACGCATCGTCTGCTTGCCTGACAAAGAATGCAATATCTTCGAAAGTTGAAATCACAGAGAAATGTTGTCATAACCACAGAAGGAGAAAAATGAACCGTTGTGAGGGGAAGTAATGAAGTAAAAAAATTATGCAACTTTTATATTTATTTCCCGTGATCGTAGCATAACGAATGGTGCACTTCATTCGTTTAATTTTAAAAGTCCAGCAGCTCTGGACAAACTGGTAACAGCAGTTCAATATAAGTGAAATAATTGTAACTAACAGTTGCGTATAGAGTCGTTTGTTACTATTTTTCATTAAATATAAGTCGCATCCTGCTGAGTACATTTGTCTTATTCTGTCACAGTGAAACTGGAATTCTCATGATGACGACCTCATGTCTGGACTTAATCAAACGACATGAAAGTGTAGTTGGTGCCTTAGTTCAGTGCAACTGAAATGGTGCTGTGCTGAATTTACCCAATTATCCGCCTACTGCAAAGATCTCGTGAAATTCCACGTTAACACCCTAAGCCATACTAATGAATTAACGTTTCAAATGAAATATATGCAAAAATTTGGTGCACAACATCACAAAGTTACTTTATGTAGACACCCGACTGATAATGCTCTTCATTTTGGTAAATGTAACTTACACTTCCGTCGACATTTCCAGGGATGCTAGAATAGGTGTAAAAGCAGATGTGATGAACTACTTTTGAACACACCTTATGACGCAATAATTCTACACCGCAGAGACTAACTTCTAGCCTAAGATTCAAAAGGCTCAACTGAAGTTCATATGAACCGGTTATAATCGTACGGGATTAAACTTACGTATACTTGCAGTCTCTCACCTTAGGAAGTGCCACTCTTGTATGCCGTACTCCCACCGCAAGCAAGTGCAGTCAAAGACACGAATGTTTACAGGAAAAGTTTATTTTTGTTTTAATACAAATTTATTTTATCTGCATAATAAGAAAACGTCGCATTCCTGTGACCACTTCTCTTGCGTAATCTGCTGCAAACCTGTCTCCTCATGTAGATATGCATAGCCTGGTGTTAATGAAGTATTCCTCACAGAGTTTTTGTGGGACAACTGCTGACGTGCTTGGAGGTGCGCTTGAATCACCTGATCATGTCCATCGCTGACATTTCCGTAGCGCGTGGTCAACTACAAATGTTAATATAGGAGACATAAATATAACTATGAGCATAATATTACGGGATTGTTAATGACAGTCCCTATATGCTGTTTGTAGTGGAAGTCATGTATACACGCAAAGGATTCTGAATAATAATAAGTTAAGTAACTAAGTTTATCAGTCAACTGAGGCATTGTCACCATAGATTACAAACAGATTATAAAAGGACCAATTATTTAGCTAACAACATTTTGATTCTTAAATACATGTAAATATAAATATGCATAAAAAAGTTCATATAAAGCCTTTAACTTTTATATCACTTTTTTCTAACTGCAACAATAAGTGAGTGAATTGGTGTGCTTAGCGAAATCCCTCTAGTATCATGACCCTTAAGTTTTCTGTCCTCAGTGCAGCTAACGAGGATGTGTTACGAGTGGTCACAATTCGTAGGGTCTTGGCAAATATGGGAAATGTTGGTGCTTCCACATCTAATAGAGAAAGATAAATGAAGGTCAAAGTGATCAGTCCTGCTTCTGGGTCGAATTTCTACCCAATCGATCCACCGAATGGAAATCTGATAGGCTTAAACCGTGCAGAATCCATTGCCGTTCTAGGTAAATATCATAAACCCAATTCAAGGAAGTCTTTCTTTTGCTGTAAGATCCGGCATTTCATGTTGGGACAGTAGAGAAACGTTCACCTTGACTTCATATATATGTATAACATGTTTCAGCATCCAAAAGGCCTATAGGAAGCTTCGGAACCGCCCACTTTCTCGTTTTCTATTGCACAGACCTGCAAGATGCTGCTTGTAGTATACTTTTGACATGATTTCCTACAGTCTGTTCAGCGATTACATAAAACAGCACCACAATAGACAGAGTGCAAGCGGGCGTTGATAAGGCATATCCCCTGTTTGAAGTTGCGCCTCCAGCTTTACCTTGAGGACATTTGCGCGGTCTAGTTGATTTCAGTTTGGCTGATTTGTTTCGTTTGATCTAGGTAGCTGCATTTGACGTGATTCTGGTTTCTGTTTGGCTTGAACTGTATTGATTTTGTTAAGAATAGTCGTGAAAAGCTGCCTCTAGGCCTGAACGCAGTTATGGTGCAGGAGGATGCTTGAGAATGTGTTTCATGTGAAAATTATAGGGTGCACCTAAAATCCTCCTGTTTGTGGCGTCTCAATGATTTCTGTAGAGCTTCGTTTCATCACTTGTGTCCGTATTTGTCGTTCACGAGTGTTCCAGTAAGTGTTTATGGCTATAATCAGGAACTTTCCAAAACGGTAACTGTGGTAAGAAATTTATATTTTTTTCCGCTATAGTTTCCAAGTCAATGTCTCTTTTAAGTTGCTTACTGTACTCTGTTGGCTATTCATGAATTTTTTATTGAAAATCTTCTGTTTTCATTTACAGTGGTACCGAATGGACGCATTGGCACTTGGAGACAATGGCGACCAACCTGCCCCTCCTACATCAGTGGATATCAAAAAACTTTTTGACGGAATTATGTTTAGTCACCGTTATACCAGTTGGGTTAAAGTAGAAGATGCTCTAAGTCGGCTGGAATCAGTAATATATGTATATATGTATGACAGAGTATTCTTAGGCAACTCATACACATTATGTCATCAAAAAGTGCATACGGGACGATGAATCTCAGGATTTGAAGTACAAATTAGTAGTCTTTCGTTGTACATATGGCATGAAGCGAAAAACTAGAGGTTCAGGTTTACGCGTCAAACCGTAAGAATTCTATTATTTATTTCTGCGGTGCAAAATACACCGGTTGCCAATCTGGCTTTCGTATGCGCTACAAGGAGGACGAGTTTATCATTTCTTCCGCGAAAACAGTTCACAATCACAGATGTGAAAAAAGTCTTATGATAGGTGATCCATATTTTAGACGCCTGTCCGGGGATGAAAAGGAGAATATTGCAGCAGTTGTGAAGACTACATCTGAGGTTGCTGATGTTTTGCAATATGCCGAAGAAAATTTTAGTAAAATTTGGACGAGCACAGATGTGTGTAATTTACGTGAGGATGTGAGACCAGGTAATTGAAGTAGTTTAAAGTTATTTTTGAAGCCATGCCTTTGAGATCAGATGTTAT